ACCGCGCTGTCGCCGGCCCCACCGCGCAGCCTACCTGATGGTACTGAGAAGCGCCGCTGTCGACGACAGAGAGGTGGTGTCATAGACCCTGTAACAGAGAACAGGGGGGCGTTAACAAAAGGGCAGCCCCTTCCTCCCCAGGCACGGACCAGCACGGGCCACGCCACGCAGCAGCCTGGAAGCACAGACGTCCGGCTCAAAGGAAGCACCAACATTCCACCTGCTGTTAGGAAATCTCCTTGTTTCCTTGGATTTGCTTCCAGCCAGAACGGAAGGCCATCCTTCCCGGAAGCTGTTCGAGGAAGAGCACCAGAGCGGCTCGCCAGGACAACTGCCACTGCGCCAACGGGCTGCCCAGCAGAGAACGCCCGGGAAGGGACAACACCAGCGCCAGGGACATCCCACCACCAGCAGCTTCCAGGGCCGGGGCTGCCTCAGGCAGGCGTGAGCTGACTGACAGACAAACCACCACAGATCTCCCCTTGCTCGGGGCTCTCCTTCACCCCGAAGAACTGCCAGGATCCCACCCCCCAGGGCAGAAAGTCCAACGAGCCGCCCGGTTACAAGCTGCGTTCTTTCTCCTCCCGAGGCGGCAGCGAGTACAGGAGCCCGGATCTGCTTCCTCTGTTCTGTCGAGCACAACCCTGGTGTGCCCGTACCCGTTCTGTACTCGGACGCCTGCTCTCTTGGCGCCAAGAGCCCACCACCACGCCCAGCACACAGTCTTCAGTCATATATAGTAAATACTATATAGTACAGTATAGAAAGTGTATAGGGAAGTATAGGAAAGAAAGCGTTATGGCCGCTCAGAACTCGCACAGAACTTCCTCTGTATGTGGAAGGGGAAGAAAGGAAATCCAACTTCCAGACAAAACATGTAGCGCTGTAAGGACTGCGCCATGGTCAGATCCTCCCCAGACCCACCCGCCTACCCCGTTTTTAAGAGCACACACAAGCTGCAGAGCAGATTTCAGCCTGGCCTGCACCGCCCCCACTTCGTACCCGCTATTCTCCGACACGTGCAGGACTTCGAAACACGCCCAGGGCCCACATGCAGGTGCAACCAGGTATTTACACGGATAATTACCTAAATTATGGTCACAGAACCAGGGAGCAGAGAAAACCTAGGTCTCTAATACACCGCTGCTCACAGCAGTTTAAATTCCCGAGTGGTAAGCTAGATACCAAAGAGCCGGTATTATCCCCGTTTTGAGTCCTAGCAGCTAAAAATAATTTCAGCCTCTGAGCATTTTGTATTTGGATTCATGAGCCAGGGTTTTGGCTGGGTTTTGTTTGGTTGGTTTCAGGGCTTTTGTTTGGTTTTGTTTGGTTTTTAAACACCAACAGCACCCGTGTATTTCACTGATCACTGTTAAAATATTCTTCAGGAAAATGAGAATTAGGAAAAGAACCCAAAAGATCGTTAAAAACAACATTAAAAATGCCAATGCAAGTAAACCCGAAAGTGATAAACACAGAAAGTTCTCCATGATGGGTAGGGCCGTTAGGAAATCATCATGAAAACCAAATACCAGCTGGCCCTGTCCAGGAAGATTACTCCTTCCCACACGGTCTTACCTCAGCTTGTCGTCCGCACACACGGTCACCACTCTGCTCCCAGTCCCAGGCGAGAAATACGCGGAAGCCACGCTTTTCGTGTGTCCCCTGAGGGAGCTCACAGGCTTGTTCCCCTTGGACTTCAGGTACCGAACATCGTAAACACAGACATCCCTGCAACACAGGGCACGCACAGCGCTTCACAAGGTGACACTCAAATGCTCTGGTTGACCAGAAAACGCACGAGAGCCACCGCAGGGCTTAGGAGCCGCAGTCAGAACTTCAGCCAGGCACAGGCCCTCGAACAGCCGGTGGCTCCACAGGACTCTGAGCGCCCCAAACCCAGCCCAAACCACCAGCTCCTTAAAACCCCTCTACACGGCGACCTGCCAAACGCCAGTGCCTCGTCACAGCATTCTGTACCCAGCAGCAAAAGGTGAAGGGAAGTCGAAGCGTATCACGTCAGCA